GGCAGGGTGCCCAGTGATGGTGGGGGGGTGTTGCAGTGAGGCATGGAAGGTGCAGGGGAGCTGGGCGATTTGAGTCCGGGGGCTGGCAGGCTGGGGGGAGGCCCTGGGTGTGACTTGCGGGCAGGGCCGGCTTTAGGCCAATTCCACCAATTCCCCCGAATCGGGCCCCGCGCCTAAGAGGGCCCCGTGCCCAGTGGCAGGGCCACCCAGAGTGGGGGGCAAGTGGCAGAGAATCCCTTCCTTGGCTAGAGGCGCCTTTTTAATTTTTACTCACCCAGCGGCGTTCCGGGTCTTTGGTGGCACTTTGGCGGCGGGTCCTTCAGTGCCACCGAAGACCCGGAGCGAGTGAAGGACCCACCGCCAAAGACTAGGAGCGCGGCCCGGTGAGTACAAGCCCCACGTGTTTTTTTTACGTGTTTTTTTTTTTTTAGTCATCCCTGTCGGGGCCCCGTCAAAACTGTTCAAATCGGGCCCCGCACTTCCTAAAGCCGGCCCTGCTTGCGGGTGCCCAGAGCCCTTGGAGAGGCAGTAGCCACACCAGCGCTGGCATCTCCCCTCCACTGACTCTGGTGGGGGCAGGGAGAGCCCCTTTAATTCTCACTGGCTCTTGTGCTCTGTTCTCCATCACCCTAGCGGGGTCGTGCAGCGCAGGGGGACGCAGTGGGAGGGCGCCCCCCCGTTCGCAGCCACTGCCTGTATTGGGGACAGGATGCCTGGGGAGCCCTAGTCACGGAGCAGGGCCCCGTTGTGCTCGGCGCTGTACGAACACGAGGAAGGAGACAGCCGCTGGCTCGAGACCCAGACCGCGGGACCCCTCTGCTGTTGCCTGGATGGTCTGGGTCCGTTCCTGGTGCGGGGTGTGTTTTGAACGGTTCCTTGGATTCCAGCGCTGTTCCTTTCCGCAGCTCGGCCACAAGCCCCGGAGCCTCTCCAGCAGCCAGGTGAAGCGGCTGGCCTCCCTGGTGGACCTCCAGCGCCTCTGGGGCTCCTTCCTGAAGCCCATGCTGATCGAGCGGTACCCGGGCAGCCCGGGCAACAGGAAGGTGCGGCAGGTGAGTGTGGGCTGTGGCCTGGCGAAGCCTTGGGGATGTGTGGTCCTTGTGCTGTGCTGGAGATTGGGGCGCATCCCGGGCTCTGAGGACACCCTGGAATGTGGGACCCCAGAGGAAGCTCGGGCCCTGCACACCCCAGGGGTTTGCCCCAGCTGCAGCCAGCGGCTCGAGGCCAGGAATTGCTCTGGGGCAGCTTTGTCTGTTTCAGGGTCTGGTGCAAACAGCGGCTTTGCCTCCCTTCACCCGGGACCCTGGGCAGTCACTGCCATTGGTGCGAAGTGGGTGCGAGAGACCCGCTAACTCAGTGTCCGCAGGGCACTGGTGTTTGTAATTGCACGAGGGAGAATCCAGCCCCAAGGAGCGACAGGGCCCTGGCTGCAATGGGGGCAGGGTTAGTCTGCGGCCTTGTCTACACTACACAAGCTCCAGATATGGCCGTACTGGTATAGCTGTCCTCCGGCACCGCCCCCTAGTGTAGACGCAGTGGACGCTGACAGAAGAGTTTTGCCCATGTAGGAACAATTTCCCTGAACGACACTTCCATGGCAGCTGCATCTACACTGGGGGTTTTGGCAGCCAGGGGCTGGTTTTTTTTTCTTTCCACAACCCAAACAACAAAGCTATGCTGGGTTTGTGGAGTCGCCCTGGCCTGAACTAGAGATGCAGAAGATCTTTGGGGTTGGGTCTGCTGCACCTCTTGGGGAAGCTACACTCGCTTTGAAGTGGGTGCGGAAAGCTCAGTGCATTTTGGAAGCGTCTGTGCGAACGACATGTCCATTGCAGACCCAGCATGCCGAGGTTCAAGCCGTTGAGAATCGGTTTTCCCGTTCTGCAAATATTTTTGAAAGTTCCAAATAGTTTCCTGTCTCGAATCAGGACAAAAATCTCGGGTATTTGCAACCCCCCAAGACCGTTTCTTTGCCAGTTCGGGTCAATGGAAACGGTTCGTTTTGATCAGTTTGCCATGTTTAATTTCAGTGTTGACCTTTTTTCAGTCTGATTAGCCGAAATTTCAGAACAAAACGTTCTTGGTTTAACCCAGAAAACGGGACTGTTTGAAGCGATCGAAACGTTTTATGTGGACAGTTGGAACATTTTTTCGAGGCGGGAGCGTCGTCGAACCTGACCCTGTTTCGCAAAATTTGGATGAATTGGTGTTTTTTGACGGAAAAACGATTTGTCAGAAATGTCCCAACTGGTTGGGGGGGGGGGAAGAAGGGAGAGGACACTGGGGATTGGGCTGGTTTTCCCCCACCATCCGATCGCCTGATGGACGGACCCTGAGGCAGGATGTGGGGGACCCTCCAAGCCCCTCAATTAGTGAAGCCTGGCGATTCTCCTGCCCTGTGGAGATGGCGCCAGGGGGTGGAATTGCAGCAGAGAGGAAAGACGGGCTGTGGGGTAGTGGACCGTTGGGAATGTAGACAGCGGGGAGCTGGTGACCATGAAACCAGCTAGGTGCAAAGGTCACGAGATCCCTAGATGGGTTTCTGGGGCGGAGCTCATGGTGCACGTTGGTACCAATGGTGTGGAAAATAGGAAGGAGGCTGGGGTCGAGGCCTCAGTACCAGCTTTCTCGTAGAGGCTACCGGTTCCAGGCAAGCAGAGGGGACTTCAGAGTCTCGTCGCTTGATGGAGAAGGTTATTTCAACTTCTAAGCGCCACTTTGGACTAAAGAAGCGAAGTCGCCGAGGCGTGAGAGACAAAATATTGTCTTGGATCCAAAACTGGCCAAGAGGCAGGAAGCAAAGAGCTGATTCAGGGCATGTCTACACTGCCATGAAAGACCCGGGGCGTGGCTGCAGCTGGCCCGGCTCAGCTGATGCGGGCTGAGGCTGTGGGTTTATAAAACTGCCGTGCAGATGTTCAGGCTCTGGCTGGAGCCCGGCTCTGAGACCCCATGAGGAGGGACGGTCTCAGAGCCCAGACTCCAGCCCGAGAGCAAACATCTACATGGCAACTTTTAGCCCTGCAGCCCGAGCCCGAGTCAGCTAGCCTGGGTCACAGTGTAGACTGTTCCCTCATCTATTGATTGTGTATTAATTACATTGATTACTTATCTTCCCAACCACCAGGCTGAGGTTTGGTGGGTTCCTGGCCCAAGATCAGGCCGAGTGTGGTTAGAATGACTAAGACCCGACGTGCATGGTTGCGACCTAAGTTCCCTCCAAGCCGCGCCGCCGACATCTGTATTTCCTCACCCTACTAGTGTCAGGGTGCCCTTCTCCCATAGTTCACTAGGCCTTCTACCTCAAGCTTATTAGCATATATGTTAATTAGTTAGCATTGAATTCCTATGGTTGGACAGCTGCTGATGTTCCTGTCTTAAAACATCTCCAGCTGGTGGTTACCTGTCAGCTGTTCAGGCATTCCAGCGTTCTGTCCTGTGAGATCTTGGTCTGGTTACTCCTGATTAGCATCGTACGCTGAGGCTTCTTGGCCCGCATGCCTTGTTTAGCTGCGCTATTGTCTCTCAGGCCAGAGGCTTGTATGCTCATTGCTTTATACCTGTGCCGTACCTAGCAAATACCTGTAGGCCACAAGCCATACCTCACGTGGTCAGTTTCAGTCATGGCTAAAGGTCCTGTGTTGTTTAATATCTTTGTTAATGATCTGGAAGTTGGGGTAGTAGCGAAATTATTGAGGGTAGCCAGGAGCAGAGAGGGCCGTGAGGGATTTCGGAGAGACCCGAGCCAGCTAGCTGAGGGGAGGGATAGTTCAGTGGTTTGAGCATTGGCCTGCTAAACCCAGGGTTGTGAGTTCAATCCTTGAGGGGGCCACTTAGGGATCGGGGGCAAAATCAGTACTTGGTCCTGCTAGTGAAGGCAGGGGGCTGGACTTGATGACCTTACAAGGTCCCTTCCAGTTCTAGGAGATGGGATATCTCCATTATAACAAAAAATAACAATAACAAATAACAATAGCCTGGGGGGTGGGTGACGTGATGCCGATGGAATTCACTGGTGATGGGCAGCGTAACACACGCTGAATGCAAACTCCTCCGGCTCTTCCCGGGTGCTAACCCAGCTGGATACGCTCAGGAATGGCCCCCATCTCACATGGGATAGCACCGAACAAAGGGGGTCCAGAGACCGGGGACAAGATCGAGCAGAGCCTGGAAAACCTCTTGGGTGTAGCTGGGACCGATCGGGATCGTGACTCTGGAGTGGGATGAGCGAGAGGGATCATGGCAGCAATCTTTCCAGACCAGTCGTTACTTGATAGGGGAGATAGGATGCTTCTCTCCTGCGCCTGGAAGGGGACGTTCCAGGGAATTAAAAGGTGGGTGTCACGGAGTCCCCGGGCGATGCTCTGGAACTGCTCCCTACGAAGCCAGTCAGGACTCTGGTGAAGTCTCCTCTCTGTGAGCAGACTGTCTTCAGGGCAAGAAGCTCACACGGCTTCCACCTTCCTGGGTCTGACCTTGGAGCATTCAGCATCCTCTGCCCCTCCGTGCGCTTCCCACAGCGAGTCCGCCCAGGCGGGGTCCTGGGGAAGCCAGAGGGTCCTGCACCCCAACTTCGTAGTCAGATGTGACTCTTAGCCAGCCAGTGAAACAGAGGTTTATTAGATGACAGGAACATGGTCTAAAACAGAGCTTGTAGGTACAGAGAACAGAATCTCTCAGCCGGGTCCATTTTGGGGGGCAGTGAGCCAGACACCCAGGTCTGCACTCACTCCACGTCCCCAGCCAGCTCCAAACTGACTCACCCTCCAGCCCTTCGTCCTCTGGGCTTTCTCCCTTTCCCCGGGCCAGGAGGTCACCTGATTCCTTTGTTCTCCAACACCTTTAGCTATCCCCTTGCACGAGGGAAGGGCCCCGGCCATTAGTTGCCAGGAGACAGAGTGTCGGCCATTTTTGCACACTGGCCTTTATCCCACCACCTAGAGACTTAAGAAATGCATAGGGGAAACTGAGGCACCCCTACAATATTCAGAGGAAACATTAAGAACTGTCCCATTTCGTCACAGTGGGGGAGTCAAATCTGGTAAAAGGAAACACTGCTTCCTGTGATGTGTGATTAGCCAGTGGAACTCACTGCCACCGGAATTCACCGGGGCGGAGAACTTACTAAGATTCTCAAAGGAACAGGACATTTGTATGGAGAACAAGGATACCCAGAGCGGTGGGTGGTCAGTACCTACAATCTGGTGGAGAGGGTGAACCCGCGCCAGGGCTCGAGCTGGTCTCTAACTCCGGATGAGCCCGAACGTGGGAGGCAGATCATCCCACGGCTGTTACTGCAGGGTTCTGTCGCCTTCCTCTGAAGCAGCTGGTGCTGGGCACCGTCAGAGGCAGGATGCCAGGGTAGGTGGCCGCGGCTCTGATCCTGTCAGGCAGCGCGTGGGGTCCGTCTCGGCGCATCCTAGCCCCATTGCACTGGGCAGATCCCTTTGGAGATAGTGAGCATCTTGCCGACCCTGCCCCTTGCCTTAGAAGGGTGAGACTGTCCCCCCCCAGGCCTCCCTGCTGATATCCCCAAAACCACTGCCCCCCGCCCCCGCCCAGACAACACCCTGACGGCTTTTCCATCTCGTTCCAGTTCATTGTGGATAGCCTGGCCACGCTGGCTGCGGGCTGGCGGGTAGAGCTGGACGCCTTTGAGGATCGGACCCCGCGAGGTATCGTGAGCTTTGCCAATGTAGTGGCCACGCTGGACCCCGCTGCCGGGCGGCGCTTGGTCCTGGCCTGCCACTATGACTCCAAGTACTTCCCCCGCGACCGGCAGGGCCGCACCTTCCTGGGGGCCACCGACTCGGCCGTGCCCTGCGCCATCCTGCTGGAGCTGACCACGGCCTTGGACGCAGAGCTGCTGAAGGCCAAGGAGCAGGTGAGTGCTTCCAAGGTTGGGGGTTCTACTCTTGGCTTGGGGAAAGGAATGGAGTCTAGTGGGTAAAATCAGCGGGGGCTGGGAGCTAGGACTCCTGGGTTCTAGCCC